AAGTTTGATGTTTTTCGGTCTTGCTAACCTAGCTGGGCAGGCAGTGCATCTCTTGCATCACTTTGTGGCTGACAAAAGTGAGAGTAAAATACAATTATTTATTACGTTTGATTTTGATAAACGACAAAGTGCAACGGTGTTTTTTACTGCAGCTCGGAAAACATAACCGCGTCGCGTGTGTTATCGTGCGTTCATGCGCGTGCACGAAATGAAACTCGCATTTTTCAAGCAGAAATATGTGGAGACCAGACATACTGTACAATACATGCACGTGAATGATGCCACTCCCAATCAAAGTACACATTATACTTTTAAAACAAGACACTGATTATCAAGTCTCAGTGTAGTTACAAACTCTAAACAACTGCACTAATTATGCAAGATAGAAAGCAATGTATTGACAATTTGACATTGATTGACTATTGATTTATAGGCTATATTGAATTAAAAATGTTGATTAGCTGGACATACTGGTCAAAATGGATGCACATCCCTCAGTAAATAATAACCATAAATCAAGAATTGCTTCAACATGCATAATAAAAAATAAATAAAAAAATCATACTGATGCCGAAAATGCCCAGGCTGTAGAAAGAACCAAAGTTAATCCCAAAAGCCAAAGCTCAGGGTTATTATTTATTATTTTCTTCTTATTTATGTTTACGTTAATATTCACTTACTTAATAATATTCACTTATTATCTTAACATTCTATAGAAAATACTCTATTCAATAAATATTGTGTGTTTGAACCTCATTCTGTTCTATATTGTTGTACTTATTATTTGACTGTTTTGTTTAAAGGGGGGAGGATGGGAGTGCTGAAGTGTCAGGTGTGACTGTGGCAATGGCAAATGGTTTACATAGCTCACGACATCAGAGGGCCCCTTAGCAGAATTTTGCTTAGGGCCCCAGGGAGGTCAGGATCGGCACTGGGTGTAGCAGTCGATTCTGTTCCTTACCGGAATTCCTGTTCCCTTTACGCAATCATACTACAAATCATGCGTAGTTGCCCAGATGAGCAAAAAGCACAATTGAATGTACGGGAAGCCAAAAGGTTAAAAAAGGATTGTATTTTTTCCGAAATCTAAGCGTTTTATTTTATTTTATTAGAAGCGAGTTTTTCCCCATCTGTCAATTCAATCCAGATTATTTATTTAAAATAAATAAATAATAATAATAATAATAATTAAAAAACAATAAACAATAATATGAGGAACTCTTTTTCTCATGTGTATTTTGGTGACATTTAACATATTGTTAATACATTTTGTATACTGTTTACAAAGTTGTATATCATAAACCTGTCATCTTTGACGTTTGCAATCTTTATAAATAATAATAAGACCATAATATGAGGCATTGCGTTTGGAAATAAACACGATCAGATAAGGCAATTTGTATGGGCAAAATTCAACTGAATATATTCCTTCATATAGCCCGTGAGTTTTGGGGGTAGTGCCCTTTTTTCAGGTCAGAGCAACTGCCCCACAAAATTCCTGTGCACGTCCCTGCTTTGTTCTTTACAAATGTTAATCAGGTTGATATGAGGAACGATGTCTAGTGCTGGATTTCACTTTGAGTGTTTGTCCTGTTTTGATCCTATTACGTTGAATGAATAGAAATAAATAATAAGGCACTTTGATTTAATTTGAAACACGTCAAAGCAGATGCACGTCTGTGACGTCTTCAAATGTGCATTTATTTATCTTTTTATTTTTTTATTTTTTTTACTTATTTGCTATTCTGTGTCTCTAAAGCTGATCGTGTCTGTACACAGTAGCCTATATGTTTTATTGTATATATTATTATCATATTAAGAACCAATCATGCTGTACAATCAATATGCTGTAGTTACAACATCTGCCAGCAGGGGGAAACGAGACAACGCTAATCACACGAGTCCACGGACGGTTGACCCTTTTCACACAGACCAGACCTTTACTGTCTATGGACCAGACGCGATGACGTGTTTTAACGGTCATGATCGTAAATGCTGCAAGGTTTTTTATATCTATATATATGCACATTTATAACACTGTAGCCTACTTAGTAGCCTATTATATTGCCGTTGCATAAAATTACAAAAAAATAGTTAACGCTGCTGTGAAGGTGTTTCTAGATAATACAGCGGCTGTGGGAGTGACGGTAAAAAAAATTTTTTACCGTCTATTTTTTTCTCTTTTTGAAAGTTGTAAAAACATATTGTCGAGTTCTTTTGCTATTTTAGAAAATTGGAACATTGCATAGCCTATTTAATGTCTTTCATTCGCGCTATAGAAGTTTACCCAACCACTTCCGCTTCTGAGAAACGTGAAACGGTTTAAACCCCTATTAAATAACATGTGTGATGTAGGCCCAGGGCCGTAGCTAGAGGATTCGGGGCCCCCTGAAAAAATATATTGATGTGGGCCCCCATCACCCTCCACCAATATTATATACTGTACAATAGATGAACATGGAGGCCCACATAACAGAAGATGGTGATGTTGTTGTAAAACCTTTATTTTAAAAATTAAATGTTTATTTAAAAATTACAACGAATAAAAACTAACAAAAAGCAAGAAATTGTTCAATAATAATAAAACCAATTTTTAAAAAGTAAAATTGTTTTTCCCCATCAGTCTGTTATAATTCATAAATCAAAAAGTAAACATTTAGAAATTGACAAGAATGCAGTCTAATTAAAAAAATAAAACCATTCATTGTCTTATTATTAAATAAAGCGAATACATTTATTCATCCAAGTGCAGTGTGTTTTATTCGTGTTTTCTCGATGTTTTAAATATCATCAGCCGGCAGGTCAGATGCAAAATGCAATGCGTCATGACTCGTGTAATTTTTTTAAAACTCTAGTTACAATACTGTAAAAAGACAGGAATTTAGACCACGTAATTATTCGGTCTATTATGGCGCGCACCGATAATAAAAAATGACTGTACACGGCAGACTGTAGACGGAAGTTTTCTAATTCCCAGCGAAATAACAATATATAACCGGTCTTTAAGAACGTCTTGATCGACTGGGATACAACCACTCTCCTTGCCTCCCTCTCCGTCTTTTCCTGGCATTTCTGGTTCCCTGATTTATGTTTTCTTTTCCCCGACATTTTTCAGTCAGTTAGTCTCCTGCTCTTCCACCAAGTTCATCGTTAACTTCAGGCTGCCGCCTCAACTCTGATTGGTTCTGTTCACGAGCTGGGGTGGGACTTACAATTCTATTGGGTCCATCTGATGTTTGTCACTGACTCTGACTGAATAATTAATAAATACTTTAGGTCGGACTAAACCATTTTTGTGGAGGTAAGAGAAGCAGACATTTGGAAAAATATTTACCCAAATTAAACGTTTTTGTGGTTTTCATTTAAATCTCAGGCATACAACTAATATAAATATTAGAATTATTCATACAACAGGGGCCTAAATAGTATAACTGCTGGATTTTGTGGGGCCCCCTGGGCAGCGGGGGCCCCTATAATTGTCACCACCTTTCACCCCACTAGCGACGACCCTGTGTAGGCCTATTTGTCATAGATTGATGTAAGATATAAAACATTAAAATGCCAAAAGGCTTAAGTTTACTTTACAACCCAGTCAACCTAGCTTGACAACTTGTGTCATATATATAGACAAAAACAAAGGATTTGCCACCACCAGTTTTACCGAGGACTGCAGACCTTCAATAACCGGAGGATGATGAAGAAAAAAGTGAACCTGTGTTTGTTTTTGGGGTATGTAGCCTATGTATCCTAGATCCTAGTGATTTCAAGCCAAGATGACTGCCATTAATAACGCACGTTGCTGGTGCTCGTCATTCTAGTAGGCTAAGCATTGGACAAATAATGTTATACAATCTAAAGTCCAGGTCTATTTTGGTGTGTTTTCCATGAGCTGTGCTTATAAAATGTGTTTATCTAGGCTAAAAGTGTTTTTTGTTTTGTTTGTTGATAGTACACTACCATATAAATGACCCCAAAGCTCATAGACATGAACTAAATGCGACTAAACTCCCTTTTTAATGTCATTGGTCTTTGAAAATGCAAAATATTCGGTTAAAATCCATTAAAACAGAAAGATGTCAACACCTTTGAGTTATACTGCCATCTAGTGATGTCTGTTGAGTCCAACATGGAACATCATCATCTGTGAATTATGATTGGTGGAGATGATCAATAACTGTTAGTGGTCGTGATCCGTCATGTGACTGCATAGAAGTTCTCACAGCCAAAATAAGGACAATAGTGGACATTTGACCACATATTAAATAAAATGACCACCACAGGTCATTTTAAATAGGATAAATCATTTTAAAAAATGGAGTAAACAAAATTCAAAATTTATTCGTTCATTTAGGTTTTTCCATTCCAGTTTTTACCAGCTTTTGAATTTGAACAAAAATATAAATGACGTTTACCCTACATATAAAAAATGTATACATGTAATACATGCATTCATTTGTGCATTGTAATAATTCTCAAATTGTTCATTAAAACTAATATACTGTCAATCTATAAAAAGGCTGCGCAAATTCAAACCAAAAAATATATTTTTTTATACAATGCTAAAGTGACACATCTTACAGTAAACTTAAAGACATTGGGGTGAACAGATGATAGAATCTTGTTTCTGCCATGCAATTAAAAATATTCTGACTTTTTTTATTGCAATTGCGAGTTTATATCTCACAATTCTGAGGGGGAAAAAAGTAGCAATACCTTATTTATTTGTTATTCCATGGCGGAAACAATCTTCCATAAAAACCGGCTTGCATGAGATTATCTTAAAAGATTTGAAAAAAGTTTTCATTTCACTATACAAATAGCTGCAATAAAACAAGAGGTTAAATTCAAAGAGTTTGGTTTGTTTCTCAAACACCTTCATTTACTCTTAATGTCTTAGTTTTCTGTTTTCTACCGTATATACGCTATTGCCGTACTAATCGAAGCCTTTGGTGATTATGAGTCAGGACATTAAACAAGACTCAATATCTTCAGTCATTTTGCTTCTCAAGAAAATGTATCTTGATTTATGAACGTTTAGATATTTGTACTGGAAAACAAGACAAAAATACTGAGGAAGACAATCATTTTTGCAGTGCACACACACATCTTATGCGTTGTGTATGTGTCTTATCAGGTTATGAAGGATCTCATCCACTCCAGACCCTCACAAAACAAGCGCCAGCACGATGAGCATCAGTAGATGAGATGTGACGCTTTCCATCTTGGATCCATGACTCATTTGTTTCGTTGTTTTTTTCATGCCGGTCTCATCTACTTTATCAGGCACACGTGTGGGCTCTCGGGGAAAATCGACGGGCTCCGTGGTCCAGCGGGAGCGCTCAGGTAAGGCAGTGACAGGCTCCGTGGTCCAGCGGGAGCGCTCAGGTAAGACAGTCGGATCTTCAGTGACGTCCGGCTCCTCGGATGGATGGAAGAGATTCTCACGCACTGTGAGGAAAAGAGAGATTGAGAGGAGTGTGTACAGCAAAAATAGGCATTTAGTTATTCATGGCCGCTTTCCACAATGTTTTAGTTCATGTTAGCTTTAAGTTGATTTGCACTGATAAAGTTTTAACATTACCGCAGATTTCCTCCTCACACACTGGCAGGTTTTCTGGACACTTTGAGCACGGCTCTCCAGACACGTATGGAAAATGTCCTGGAACATTTCCCCTGAAATGAAGGAAAAAGGAAAGGGGGTGTGTGTTAGAAAGTGAAGTTAGTGGAGAGGATTTTCATAGATATTTCATTTTATTATGTGAAATTTATTTTAGATCAGTGGTTCTCTACTAAATGGCTTAAATATCTTTAAATAAGCTTAAACAGCTAAAAATCAAGATTGTCATTTCTTAATTCATTCCCTCAACAACTGTCATATTTAGCTATATGTTTCTAGAACTGGAAAAGTCATGAAAATGTATACAATCTTAAAAACTCCTAGTTGTGTCAAGCTCTTAAATATTTTATTGAGAAGAAATTGCCATTTGTGAGTTAAAAATATTTATACAATCCTTATGTCATAATCACTGAAGATTTTTTAAATATACAGTATTTATATATAATGTATAATACGTGTGTGTGTGTGTGTATATATATATATATATATATATATATATATATATATATATATATACACACACACACATATATATATAAATATATATTATATACACACACACACGTGTGTGTGTGTGTGTGTGTGTGTAAATTTAATAAACTTAAATTTGATTAAATAATACAGATGAGAAAAGTTATACTGAGCATTATTTTGACAGAAAAAAACCTAAATAAATAAATTATTTAAAGAATGTTCAGTTCTTCAATCTTCTGAAATTGATTTATACAATTTTATATTTCACTATAGTGTCACTTCTAGTTTCTGAAAATAAAAAAAAACTTTGAAAACAAGCAGCTTTGATAGTTGTGACGAAGAGGCTGAGGCGGTCGGATCCATGTGCAGTAATTTATTGATACAGGTAAGCCAACAAAGGAAAGCAGTCATAAAACTCAGAAGCCCGTGGCAAGGGTAGCAGCAAACTCAAACACAGCACACTGGTAAGGGCAATCCAAGAAACGTACGTCAAAACAGGCAAAGGTCAGGGGCTGGCAGCATAGGTTCAAAAACGAGTTCAGAGTCCAAGTCCAAATATCAGAGAAATACGAGAAAACGAGCTAGAGACAGCGTGTAGGTAAAACAAGACTTCACAAATGAACAATGAATAGAGCAGACCAGATAAAGGGGACCTAAGGGTACACAGGTGATACTGATGCAATGATGGGGTGGTTAATCAGGAGGTAAAGAGCAGGGAAGGATGAAGGGAAATGAAGTCCTAATACGCAGGAGAGAGGGATCTGGTGAAACCAGGAGGAGGCGTCGTTGAGCGTTCTGTGACAGAGCCCCCCCCCTGCGAGCGGCTCCGGAAGCGAGGACCTGGTTGACGGCGGGGTCTACCACGGGGTCTTGGAGCAGGGCGATCAGGATGGTCCCGGTGAAAAGCAGCAGTTAATGTGGGGTCCAGGATATCCTGAGACCTGACCCAGGAGCGTTCCTCGGGACCGTACCCCTCCCAGTCGATAAGGTATTGTAACACCCCGCCGTGACGTCTGGAGTTCAGGACCTCTCGCACCCGGAAAGCCTCCGCACCGTCCACCTCAATGGGGGGAGTCTGCACAGGAGCGACCTCCTCCTGGCTCCTCTCTCTCCTGGGGGCGACAGCGGGCCTGAAAAGGGACACATGAAATGTAGGTGAGATCTTGTAATGAGCAGGAAGAGCCAAACGAAAAGAAACTGGTGTTATCTGACGAAGAATCTTAAATGGTCCGACGAAACGAGGAGACAGTTTCCTGCTCGGGAGCTTGAGAAGGAGATCTCGCGCAGAAAGCCACACCCACTGGCCGGGTCGATACCTGGGACCTCCTCCTGCATCCTCTCTCTCCTGGGGGCGACAGCGGGCCTGAAAAGGGACACATGAAATGTAGGTGAGATCTTGTAATGAGCAGGAAGAACTCACCGAACCTAGATCCAGCAGCCATGCCTACCTGGAGTCCAGACGTAAAGATTCTCCGTCTCCGCCAAGAGAATCGCGCTATCGAGGATTATGTCGCAGAATTCCTCGAGCTGGCACATCTTGCGCAAATGAGCACCCATTGCTTGACGATCTTCTTCCGCGGGGGATTATCGGAACCACTCCGGTCTCAGATGCCCGAACCTGATCCGCACGGGTCTTTAGAGTGGTATATTGACCTTGCCCTGTTGTGGAGCGGCTCTTCGTTTACTGTAGGCGTGGAGGAGAAGAAGCTGCGAGAGCCTGCGCTTCACGTCAGCCCGGTCGCGCCCGCGCTTCACTTCAGCCCAGCCGAGACCGCGCTCCACAAGCCTGCACTTCTCGTCTGCCCAGCCGAGCCCGCGCTTCACGTGAGCCCCGACGAGCCCGAGCTTCACGTTAGCCCCGACGAGCCCGCACTGCTCGTCTGCCCAGCCGAGCCCGAGCTTTACGTGAGCCCTGCCGAGTCCAGTGAGTCAAGTGAACCGAATCCCGAGTCAAGTGAACCGAATCCCGAGTCAAGTGACCCGAATCCCGAGTCGAGCGTGCCAAGTACCGAGCCGAGCGTGCCAAGTACCGAGCCAAGCGAGTCGTCCAGTGAATCAAGTGAGTCATCGTCCAGTGAATCAAGTGAGTCGTCGTCCAGTGAATCAAGTGAGTCGTCGTCCAGTGAATCAAGTGAGTCGTCGTCCAGTGAATCAAGTGAGTCGTCGTCCAGTGAATCAAGTGCATCGTCCAGTGAATCAAGTGCATCGTCCAGTGAATCAAGTGCATCGAGTGCCGAGTCAAGTGCATCGAGTGAATCAAGCCCTGTGACGCGCCGCCGCAGGAGGAGGAGGAGGACTCGTTCGGCTCACCAGGCTCCGGTGAGCGTACCCAGACGCCTCGCCGGCCCCGCCTCTGCGCCTCGCCCTGCCGGGCCCCGCCTCTGCGCCTCGCCCTGCCGGCCCCGCCTCTGCGCCTCGCCTTGCCTGCGCCCTTCAAGCTCCGGGAGGTCACTCTTGAACCCAGTTACAGCCCGGAGGTTCCTCCCGTGGATTTCCCCAAGTATTTTTTTTGGGGGGGGCAGTAGGTACCCTGAGAGGGCCATGGAGGCAGTGCTGACATGGACCTTGTCGGTGCTATCTCCACCTGAGCCTCCTATGCCCTGGTCCCCTGCCAAGTGTGCTCCGCCCTGGTCCCCTGCCAAGCGTGCCCCGCCCTGGCCGCCGTCACGTCCTGCTCCGCCCTGGTCACCGGCCCAGTCTGGTCCGCCCACGCTCTGCGGCCCAGGCCCGCCTTGGCTACCTCCTGGTCCCGTTCCCCTGCACGGGCCTGGCCCTCCGTCCCTCCCCCAAGACCGCCTCCGCTTCACCGCCCTCCTGAACTTTTTGTTGTTTTTATGGGCGTCAGGAGCCACCCATAGGGAGGGGGCTATGTTACGATGTGGTTTTGTGTCCTGTCATGTTTAGTGGTTCCCTGTCTTGTCATTAGTTTTCCCAGGTGTTTCCCATTTACCACGCCCCCTTGTTATCCTATCTAGCTCGTGTGTCCCTGATTATTTAAGCCCTGTTTCAGCCTTGTCTTTGTGAGTTCTTGTTTAATGTTTACGTGTATGTTGGTTGTTCTTGTATCCTGTTCCCGAGTCCTGTATCCACGTTTAGTTTGTTAAATAAAGCGTGTGCTGCATTTGGATCCTGCTTCATCTCTGCCTCAACCGCACCACGTTACAATAGTACAGCAGAAATATCTTTGGGTGCCTTTGAAAGTATACATTTACATGTAATCATTTAGCAGATGCTTTTATCCAAGTGACTTACAAATGGTCCATGAGTCCTTCGAAAAGTTTGAGAACCACTACTTGAGATAGCTAGATAAATACTTATAGATAAATAATATATAAGATAAAGCTGTGTTTCAGTATTAGCTGGTGGTATAGACTTCTAGACTGAAATATTTGTATATGAACTCATATGATGTTAAGTTGCAACTTATACCACAATAAATATTGTAAAAATAAATATTGTAATGAAACACACTTACTGAGGATAGTAATCACAGACGAGAAGAGTGGACTTACTGAAACCTAGACCCTCAACAGTGTCACAGAAGTGAGTAGCACAGCCAATTCTATTGGTGTCTGCCCACACCATCTGTAAAAACAACAGAAACGCATCGTCACATCTGCATAGTAATAGTCTGTGAATACCAATCAAACGCACAGAATGGAAACGGTGCTTACCTGAGTGTAATGGCCACACATTTTGTCTTCAGGACAGAACTTGTTTTCATAGTTATAATCCACATTTTCCTCAAACCTGGGGTGCAAAGAAATGAGTTGCTTTAATGCTTATAGGTAATATATCCGCATATCACAGATCATTGGTATGTATTCTTTTTGGCATCAGTCATTTATTCATTCTCATTTATGTTTTAGTTAAGATAGTTTTCATACCAGCTAACCGTTGCTGCGGTTGCATTAAAAGGTCCAGTGGTGAGATAGAGATTTTCACCCAAAGTGAGTTTCTGAAGGTCAGGGTTGTGGTCCCAGATGCATTTTGCTGCGTAAGCTTCCGCCACCACACGCAGTGTCTCGTCCCACACCTTAAATGACAGAAACAAGTTTGATGATGTTATTTGACTTTGACATTTGTTAGTTTTGTGACAGCAGAACAATTTATTTACTTAAAGGGGCACTTCACCTCTGGGAAGATGAATGTGTATTTAAAATGGGTCATTTATGTAGAAGAAATGTGAAATTATTTTTGAATTTGGAGCTTTCTAGACTGAGAAAAGCCAGAAAATGCATAGCTGTCAACATTTGGTTTTCAAAATCCGGGAGATTTGTTCGGCGCGGGGGGGGGGGGGGGGGGGGGGTCCGGTGTGTTCTCTTTCACACATTTCTGTTATTATCAATGTAGCTGACTGCACAGTGAATCTTTCATAATATATACACTTTGTTTGTTATAATTAGAGGATTTGCCAGCATACAGAATTCAGCACTGAACAAAAAAGTTTTGAGCGATGAGGGGAGTCTATCTTAAATGCTTCTGATTGGCCATTGCGTTCAAGAAATCAACACATATGTCTGTGATTGGCTACATCGCTCAACGCTGCAAACATGTTATAAATATAAACTCTGGCCTGTAAATCGTTTTTGTTGTTATTGTTGCTTTTCTGCAACAGATGAATAAAAATGTATTAGTTTTTTGTGTTTTATTCATAAATATTTCTAGTTTGCGGGAGTCCCGCGAATCGTTTTATTCTCAAACACACAGAGTGAGTGCATTACCGCCCGCGCTCGCACTCGGCCATCAAATCTAGTCCCGCGCCGCACTCTATTTCGGGTTAAGCTTTCCGCGACTGCGCAACTGGGTTATAGGTTGCCAGGTTGAGATGACAAACGGGTTGAAATTGTATATGGTGTGTGGATTGTGTGAATATAATGCATTTAATACAAGATCTGGCAACTGGTCAACATTAGACAAACATATTGTTCCGATTATTCATAAAGGAGTTTGGGCCATGCAAATTACGGGAGTTTCCCGGGAGAAATAACAAACCGGGAGGGGTCCGGGAGATAGGGCTAAAAAACGGGAGAAACCCGGGAAAAACGGGAGTGTTGACAGGTATGGAAAATGTATTTTTGGCTTATGTGGATGAAAGACAACAACTCCCAGAATGCACTTGCTTCGCTGCCCTAGGAGGCCACGCCTACCGGTAACAGAGCGCAGTAGTTAAACAACAAGGCTAGGCTACTACTATTGAGTCTCCGTGATGAGTCTGCCCGAGATTTCGAGATCGATATTGTCCAGGATTCAGCTTTTGCGTTCTATAGTCGCCATTCATCATGTTTACTGTGGCGAGCAGGACGAGTGAGGGCCGTGGGAGAACGACACGAGGCCGGTGGCGTGATTACTGATGAGCGACACCTGTGAGACGCACCGGCCTCATATCTCTCACGGAGGAGTGGGAATTTTCTTAGCAAAACGCACTTCAACCGATCACTTGTTTAGCGTTCATGTAAACACTACATTCAGATTCACCAATCGGAATGAATTCAGTTAGATTGAAACAAAAGGTGTGCATGTAAACAATGAATGGCGACTGCAGAAATCAAGCTGAATCCCGGACATTTTGGACGATCTCGAGGCCGGACATGTCCGGGAAGAAGAGGATGGTAACCCCTACTAAGCTTTCTCCTACTACTCAGCTTTCTCCACAGAACAAGAGCCTGCTAGCTTAGCTTCCAAAAAAAGATGGCTGACATTGTGTACATTCTGTGTGAGTGAGATCCGTGAGATCCCACCCTCTATGGGTGGAATTGAGAACACGTGGGACAGAAGAGCAACTATTGGCTGTAGTCTTTAGCCTCTGGCCAAAAAAATCCTCCGATTACGCAAAATGACGATTTTTGCGTCATCGGAGGATTTTTTCCAGACTAAAAATACATAAATCTCTCATATCAGGGGGATATGGGGGGGGGGGGGGGGGGTTCTACTGATACAAAGCTTAATGCTAAATCCTCAAGTGCCCCTTTAACTCTTAAATAAACCAATGTTGTTATTAATTATAATTCTGTAAAATGATAACTTAAGTAATTACCGTAATTCCTCAAATAAAGACCGGGGCCTTTATTTACCTGAACTGCAGATGGTAGCCGGCTTTTATTTGAAGCAGGCTTTTATTAGAGGCAGGCCTTTATTTCTAATTCGCGATCCCCGCCCGCCAGCCAGCCAAGTTTCCATGGTGACGCATCATGCTTGGCACGTGTTCACCACAGCCAAAATAGCCAACAGATGTAGCGCTTTTATTTCTAAATATTAACAAACTTGCTTACCATGTCATCAACTATCTTCTATTCTGACTCTCAAATCCGTGTAAGTTGAGTTTGTTTTGTTGTTTAAAACCCTTTATAAATTATCTTGATCTGTAACGCGAGATGGGCGCCGCAGTTCAGAGATTCATGTCTGTTGGATTTGTTACGTTACAGCGCGTGAATTCTTCAGTTTCTCCCGAAATACATGAAAGTAAGTGGCCGGTGAACTGGGAGAAGAATAGATTCAACTTTATAGTTACTTACACTGTGTATATGATATGAATAAAACACGTCGCCAAATATATTTGAATGGATTGTTATTGCTGCTTCCATAGACACCATTGTGTATTTTACAAACTATAAATGTATTGTTTTGCTACACATCATATCTATTTAAATGTCTGAAACCTAAAATAAACATGTGGTTAAAAACACTGTGATATATGACAAGCGCTGAGCGCGTCCGTCTTTGAGTGTACACTAATTTTTCCCCGGCCTTAATTTGAGACCGGCCTTTATTTGTCCGCGTTGACCACGCCCCCGGCCACTATCAGAGGCCCGGCGTTTATTTGAATACCGGTTTTTATTTGAGGAATTACGGTAACAATGAGTGAATCTTGCAAACGCCTGGTCATATTTCATGCTAAAATCCAAAATAAGGACATTATATAAATATGCAGGGCCTAAAACTAACTTTTTGCCACACCTGCCAATGGCTGGCAACTTAAGAAAACGTCTAGGTTACGATTGTAACCTCTGTTCCTCTGTAACCTCAGGGAACGAGACACTGCGTCAATGACGCTATGGGGAACGCCTCCGCGTGAACCGGTGTCTGAAACGCTTATCTAATCACACCAAACATATTGGCCAGTGACAGCATATGACATCACTAAAGTGCGACCTGGAAATATATAAGGGGAGCCTGTAGAACATGTCAACAACTTATCGTCTGAACAGACTGTTCAGCAGGCATCCCGGAGGCATGGCGAAAAGACGTCTCGTTCCCTGTTCTCAGGGAACAGAGGTTACAGTCATAACCTAGACGTTCCCTTTCGAAAGGGAACTCGCACCGTGTCAATGACGCTATGGGGAACGATATACCAACACCACCATGCTGAGGGGAGTGCATGCCAAATTATGGCTGTGAAAAAAAAAACGTCAAAAAATGTCAGTTTCCAAAAAACACTCCCCCTTCGGGTCACATACCCCCTTTCCAGCACATCTGGAAAATTACAGACCGGTATAACTTCTTCCATTTGTCGCGAAAACACTTGAGCGAGTTGTTTTCAACCAGATCTCTTCCTTTCTTACACAGAACAACCTCTTGGACAACAACCAGTCTGGTTTCAAAAGCGGACACTCAATTGAGACTGCCCTGCTCTCGGTAATTGAAACTCTGAGACTGGCAAGAGCAGCTTCCAAATCCTCAGTTCTCATCCTGCTGGATCTGTCTGCTGCCTTTGACACAGTTAACCATCAGTTCCGACGGTTGCTGCTCGCATCTCAGCCTGCCTGACAGACATTTCTGGCTGGATGAAGGACCACCACCTTCAACTGAACCTTGCGAAGACAGAGTTGCTTGTGGTCCCGGCCAACACAACACTACACCACAACTTCTCCATTCAGCTAGGTTCGTCATCCACAACTCCATCAAGGTCAGCCAGGAACCTTGAACTGCCCGGTCCAGTAGATTTGCCTTATACAACAGTAGGAGAATCAGGCCCTTCCTATCAGAGCATGCTACACAACTCCTTGTCCTAGTACTTGTTCTATCCAGACTGGACTATTTTAATGCTCTCCTAGCAGGTCTTCCAGCTTGCACTGTCAAACCTCTGCAACTGATCCAAAATGCTGCAGCCAGTGTGGTCTTTAACGAGCCAAAGAGAGCACACGTCACTCCTCTCCTCACAAAATTGCACTGGTTGCCAGTTGCCCGTCACATCAAATTCAAGTCACTGACTTTTGCCTACAGAACAACTACTGGCTCTGCTCCCTCCTACCTAAACTCATAACTTCAGACTTACGTGCCAAACAGAAAACTGCACTCTGCAAGTGAACGCCGTCTTGTGGTGCCATCTCAAAGAGGCACAACATCTTTTTCTCTGACTTTTTCTGGTCTGTTCCATGCTGGTGGAATGTCCTGCCCAACTCAACCAGAGCTGCTGAGTCCGTAGCCATTTTCAAGAAACGGCTGAAGACGCATCTTTTTCGGCAACACTTGATCCATTAATACTAACACTTTATCTTCTATTCTATATCCATTATCTTTATAAAAAAAAATATATATATTTTTTAAGTACACTTACTGCGTTAGATTAAACTGGGAAGGATAATAGCACTTGCATATTGTTATCCTATTGTTAGTTTAACTGCTGCTTATTGTTCTCATTTGTCGCTTTGGATAAAAGTGTCTGCTAAATGAATAAATGTAAATGTAGAAACAGGGAGGCTCCATGGGGGCCTGCAACGTGATACTTAATGCCTTTGCAATGCTAAGCATCCACTCGTTGGGGAGCCGCCTTCAAGTGGCCTGTTAAGGCCTAACTACTTGATAGCGGGACTGTTAGTAGAGCTAGCCTCAGAAGCCAGGTGCTCTCACAGACATCTCTGTGGGCCCGGTTATACTTATTTAATATTGCCAACAGGCAGTGTACATGGCAGAAGTGCTATCGGCCCTTTAAAGCAAGGGGAGTACAATCTTACGCTACCGGATTATCAAGGAGGCCTACTGTAAGGCCTACAGCTTCGAATTTCACGGACGTCAGCCCGGGCAGTGCTTTGGCTT